GGGGGGGGGGGGGGGGAGGGGGGGGGTGGGGGGGGGGGGGGGGGGGGGGGGGGGGAAGGTTTTTTTTTTTTTTTTCCCCTACTTTTTTACAATTGTTTTATAAAGAGAATTACTCGGGGACTTAACCGTTAAACAATTTTTCAATCCAAAGTATACATTGTGAAGTTTATCGTGAATACTTTAAAACGGTACCAAGAACCTATCCCCAACAAGTAAAGAACATGGCTCGAAAATGAGTTTAAAGAGGTGACATCAAAATGAGAATTAGATGATGAAAAATAGGAGTATAAATGGTCTAACAACCATCTTTAGCTCATTATTTAACAATTTTTCAATATGAAAGATGCGTACCAAACGAATTTGGACCCCTTCAACAATGGATTCTTGACTTCGTCACCGACTATTGTTAAGGACCTAATTACTATAAATCTTTATGTAGATTTAGAAATAAACTGAATAGCATGACAAAAAATAAAAAGTAAAAATTATGTAATCGATTTCAAATTTTGTTGATAACATAATTTTAGTTTGTGGATGTTCTTTGCTTGATGTTTTATGGAAATCCCTGAGAATTTGTTCTTCTTTTCTCAACAAATTAGAATCTTGTTACATGTACACTTTGGTTTGCACTTTGTCACATGGCATTACCCAATTGGACATTTTAAATTTCAACCAGTTGGACAAATAGGGTTAAAGACAGATTTTTCCAGGGAATGAATTGGCAGATGTTGATTGACAGTTTTTTCTTCAAATTTTTTTAATTGTAAATGAGAAAATGTCAATTGTATCTGTTTATAAATCTCTGTCATTGAACCTATTACATAGCAGAATTGCTCTTGCAAACACGTTCCAGATTTAGTTACATCAGTGAACCTCTCACATCTACTCGTTACAACTAGTCAGAGTTTGGAGATGCCGATGTCCAGTGAATCTGATTCACGTCATCACGTGTTTGACAATTTAAAGCAGACAATATGGAATATTAGTCCCTGTTTGATAAAGCTTTTAGAGAGTATAAGTTTGACTATAGCAAAGCCACCATCAAAGTTTAGTAGACAAATAACTTGACAACCACGTCGCCTTTTCCGTTAGTCCAGCCAACGAATGTGGCCCGACTGACCAGAATGGCTTGGCAGTGCCAGAAAACAATCTGAGTTTGAACAAAAATCTCCACAGATACATTGAACTATTAGTTTACACAAGAAATGCTGTGACCCAAATTACAATTCGTCAATTCGACGCACTGAAAGGATATCTACTTGCCACATACAAAGAATTTTGTGCTTTTTGCCCTCCATTACAAGACCAAATCTAAACTGGATTGCTGATCAAGAAATGAATTTGAACTGCACAACTACAGGATATAATAACAGTGAACAACCAAATAATTAGCAGCAAAACTCAGTGACATGAGCCTTCCGATCACCCAATAGAGGAAAGATCTTCGAAAACCATCTTCATGTCAGGCCTTTCTGCTGCAGGAAGGATACATTTGAGAGCAATCTGAAGCACGGTGTCGAGAATTTTAAGTGGGCGCTCTGTGTTTCTTGTTTCTATAATCTGTTGATCAAAACACTCAATTGACCGGTTCCCTGCAGCCAGAAGTCTCACCCATTCTGTTAGATCCATCACTTCTGGCTCACAACGAACAATTTCTGCAGAATTCTTTCCCATCAACAGCTCAAGCAGAATAACCACAAAAGCATATACATCGCTCTTCAATGACGGGCAAGGTTTACTTGTACTGGTGAATTCCGGTGGCATGTAGCCAAGAGCACCTGCGTTTAACACCTGCTCGGCTATCCCATATGATGTCAATAACCGATGGAGACTATAATCGTTCAGAAGTGCATTTATGTTAGGAATTTCAATTAAAATGTTAGTGGTTTTCAGGTTGCCATGAGGTATGGCACTTTTGGTATGTAGGTAAGTAAGACATCGGGCGACATCAAGAGCAATCTTGATCCTTTCATGGAGAGACAATGGAGGGAGCATTCTGGGATCCGTCTCTGCAGATGACATTGAAGTGGACGGTTAAGTATTTACTGAAAATATATACCATATTATCCATCCAGCTACAAGAATTTCTAAATTTATATAAAACTGCAAAATAAGTAGATATAGAACACATATTTCTAGGTAGCATTGATGAAATGAAACCTATAAGTTGGAAGTATACCGTGAAGATAGAGCGCCAAACATGGAGCATTAATATAATTAGATATGATTAGCTTCTCATGCTCCTGGGGACCCCTATAGAAACCCTGAAGGGAAACTAAATTTGGATGTCTAATATTTCCTAGTTTCTTTGCTTCTCTCGCAAATTCTTTTCTACCTTTCGCAATCCCTTCTTTTAGCCATTTCACGGCCAACACGTGACCTGAATCAAGCACGGCTTTGTTGAGCGTTCCATGGCAACTCATACCGATAACTTCTGCAGGTGCAGATGATAGTTCTTCTGCAGCGAATTTCAAGGACTCGTCAAAAAGATGTAGATCCCCAGCCAGTTTATCTGGAGAACAAACCTTCAGTGCACTGGGATTTTCAGATAGATGCTGAATCGTTGAAGGTGACGTGCCGGCAGATGACAGCACAGATTTACTAGTTGATTCAGGAAGGTTTTGATCTTTGGATCCACGTATAGCTGATGAGATGGCTTGAGGAAGAGAACTAGATTCAATTTGTGATGAAGATAAATCTGTAGGATAACTAACATAAGCTCTTGCAGGATCATAGTATTGTCAAAATAGTGATGTATCAGGGGACTAGGCTTTCTTGTCTACCACTTACTGTTCTTTACACTGGAATCTTTAGAGGTTGCCTTCTCTCCACGTGCTCGATGGATTCTGCAGTAGATCATCAATGTCAATAAAGCTATAACAGAAGCAGCAGCAACCAGGCACGCAATAAGGGCAGCCCTGTCAGCAGATTTCATGCGTGAACGATGCCTTCCAAAACTTATATTGGGTCCAATTTTTGGTGACGATGCTTCATTCTGGTGTGTGAGCAAGAAATTTCCAGGATGAAATGCTGAATCAGGAAACCTCTCTAAGTTTTCTGGTACAACTCCAGATAGGTTATTGTAAGATACATTAAATTCTCTGACTGTGCCTGGAAGATCATCAGGGATGTCACCTTCAAGATGGTTGTTAGAGAGGTCGAGATGTACCATACTCTCAAACTTACCAAGCTCAGGGGGGAAATTTCCTGCAAGTGCATTATGTGAGAGATCAAGAGATTCCAGGCTGTAATTTTGAGTGAAAAGCGCCTGAATTGGAATCGTACCAGTGAAGTTGTTGAAAGAGAAGTTAATATTGGTCAATTTTGTCGAGTTAAAAAGGCTAGGAAGGAAGGAACCGTTAAGTTGATTAAGGCTAAAATCAATGTCTTTTAATTCTGGATATGTTCGTAGAACAGGCGGGAGAACACCTTCTAGCGAGTTGTTGGAAATCTTTAATGAAGTAAGCCTCAAGAATTGAGTTGTTTGGTTCAGTAATGCCCCCGTCAATGCATTAGAGCTTACTGCAATAACGTCAACATAATTTCCCCAACTTTGAATTTTGGAGATGTTTTCTGTGAACATATTATTACTCAGATCAATGACAGAACAATGACCTACTCTTGCAGGCAAGGGGCCTGAAAGCCTGTTAGAAGACAAATTTAGATACTTCAGATTCCGAGAACTAATACTTTCTACTGTTCTGGTCAGAAGAGAAACAACAAGCAGCTTAATTAAATATTGGAAGTGGAGAAGTTATAATATAAGACGGAAATAAAGCCAAAAACTTGACAAGATCATGAACCATTTATGAGAAGCACGCCATCATAAACAAGCAAACAAGCACATAAAAAATTCAATCACAATGTTTAACTTCTTTACCAGCATATTCATGAAACAACTTAAATAGTCAATTTTTCAGTTTAAAACGTAATAAACTCACGGCACAAGATCTTGTAAGGTTGAGTTGTACAAATAGATTTCAATCACAGTAACCAGCAATTGAATTTAGAGCAATTAAATTACGACCACCATCGTTATCATGGTCACAACGTCACTGGTATAATGTACAAATGCAACCATTCCTTACCCTCTCTTCTTTTCTTCTGTTTTCTATCCGTTTCTTTTGTACACCAAGCATCCTAACTACGGCCAGACAAAACTCCCGAACCGAACCGGACCCGAACCGAACGGTTCTTTTTAAGTTAAATACTCGAACAGGTATCTGAATTGAGAACCGATGAGTTTTGTTCGAATCTAGACCAAGAACCGAATCTCCTTAATTTTTTAAATTTTTTATCTTAAATAAGTCAAATTATTTTATTTTTTAAAAAATAAATTGTTAACTAATTAATTTAATCCAAACCCAAAATATGATTTTACTATATCTAATTTTCAGCCAAGTCCAACTTAATCAAATTGACCTAAGTTTTACCCAAATCTTTTATTCTACCATAGTGTTATTTCTATCGTTCTATTATTGTGAACTAGCCATCTTCCTCTTCCTGTGATTTTAACAGTCAAATATATGAAGAACTCAACAAAAAGATGTGGAAAAAATATCACTAGATTGGACTATGTCATTTTGTAAGAGTTAAAATTAAATATATCATAGTCGAATTAATATAGCGTTGTTGTAATATAAAAATTTTATTTATTATACGGAATCCTGGAATCGAATAGAATCGAACCGAACCCAACTAACCCGCATGGAACCGAACACGAACAGTTTCATAATTAAATTTAGACATGACAGTTCTATTTACTAAATACCAAAAAATTTCGGGTTTGGTTCTATTTTCTTTAGAACCGAATCGAATCGGACCATGCTCACCCCTACTTAAAATTAAGCCCAAAATTAAAGTGAACTA